TTCAAGACATCAGTATGGACACCAGGAAAGTGTAAAGCATTTCCAACAGAGATCGTGTAAGGTGAGTTATAGTAAAGCATGAAAAGGTTGATGTTTGTGTTAACATGGTAAACTCTGTGTGAGCATTTGAGAAATTTTTGTGTTGGCCTGGGTGCAGGGGATGTTGCAGGCTTCACCTCAGCACTGGTAACACCAGGATGATCTTTTCCTGTCTGCCCCAGTATCTCTACAACCAACTCCCTTCCTTCCCGTCAATACACAGCGATAGGGCACAGCCTTACACACGTAACTGTTATAGAAATGTAAGCATCTTCTTTAGATAGCATTCTCCCTCTGACACTGACCTTTGTGTCGAGGTAAAACCTGACTCAGTATAAATATTTTTCATTCACCTTTTATCACAGTGCAACCTGGTCATTTTTAAATTGATACCCTAAAGGTAATTTCAGGAAAAGGTGACATTAATGAGTTGTTGTAGCCTAGATGAAACGGAAGACAAATCGACTCTTTTATGCAAAAACTGAAAATGATCAAGTTTTCAAATTCTGCAGTCAATTTTAGATAAAACAAAAGTCAAATGTGTAGACTGTTTTGATTTTAGTTTTTTGGCTTTGTCTTTGGAAATTAAAAATAGAAATACATATTTTTTGTTGCTGTTGTGTTCAGGTTGGTGAGGACACTTTCATACATGTTGAGTTCTGTAGGTTTGCTTATATATAATAAACAGGAGTTGTGGGTGTCATTGTGCTTTGAGTTCTTGTTGGTTCATTATTTGTCCAATTCTTTCAACCTTTTTATGGTAAGGGTGTCCAAATTCATTTTGTCATCTAGGAGGACTGCAAAAATTTTAGATTTGTTGTGCTGTGAGAAATTATATTTCATGGCCAGTGTTACTCTAGATTAATCAATAAATAAAAAACAATTTGTCTCTTATTAGCAAAAAGTTCTAGAAAGAAAAACATTTTCTTTTAATTTCAAAAATACTTTGCGTGACAATACTTTTGAATTTAGTTTGCTATAAATAATTTCTTGCTAAATGACAAAACTACTGCATTGGGTAAAGTTAGTCACACGTAAACATGGCTGGTCATGTGCACAGTCACCTACAGATGGAGGAAATACTCTCAGTGCTGCCTGTGTCTGCTGAGGATGTGCGGTGCAGTGATGGCACATTAACGATCAGACCCATGACAGCAGTGTGCTCAGCCTCACTGAAAAAAAACTTGCTGCCAGTGTTTAATTCAATGAGGATTGTTTGAGTGGAACAATGGCTTTTGGCCCCATTGAGATTAAGGGAAGGGTGAGAAAGGTGTGTTTGTCAATGGCAGCTGACTGTATTTTTGTGTTTTAGCCCACTGATGATCCCGTGGGTTCGATGGGGTCGTAAATCAGACATATCGCTGCGATGCAAGGGACATCCGCTGTTTTTCCAGGTAACTCACAAAACAGGTCAACAATGAGTAGCTAAAAGGGAAAATACAACAAGACACACTCACTGTGGTATCATAAAGACTATTTAGAGACACTGAGAGTAAGTTGTATTTAGGGTTACAATTATTTTTATCATCTTGCAAAAAAATAAATTAATAAAAAACTACACTGTGTGATGAAGTACCTCATAAAGAACAGACTTAAAAAAAAGGACAGGCAACCCCATGGACAGTATAGTTGGCTTTTTTTTTTAGTAGCCGCACCTGCTAATAAGGCTAATGATAAAGTTAATAGTTAAATGGTGGACCGAGTCTGAAGCTGACAAAACAAGAAGGATCTAGTCAGAACCCGTGGTAACCTTCTAACATATAGCCAATTAGGATGCAAATACTTTTTCACTATACAGGAAAGTGACGTTTTTGAGCATTGTATAGATAGAACCTGTCTAGCAGTCACTGGTTTTGTCCTAATATTTAATTGTCTGTTTTTCATGTCTTATTAGAAAAAAGACCTTTGACTTCAAAACAGGTTTCTTGGAAACTAGTATTATGTAACTTGTCATTTATACTCAGTTCAGCAGTAAGTAAAAGGCAACGGTCTCTGTTTTTATTTTATTTGATTAATTTGGGTATTTTGCATTCCATGTAGTCCGTTTTGACTATGCTAATGGAGTTCACTGATTTAGAGCTGCAGGTCTTAATGAAAATCCTCTGCCTGATGATCAGTGCTATTGATCACGTTGAGCTCCTGTTTTAAGCAGGGCTAATTGATTAATCAGCACAGGTTGCTTTGGATTAATGGAACATGACTGGTACATGAACCTGCAGCTCTCTCCTCCCAAGGAATTTTTACTTTTCAGGAGTGTTTATGTGTGAGCTATAATTGATCAGTGAGTACAATTTTTAAACATTTGTGCACAACTTATAATGCACAATATAGTGCAATGTTATCCAGTTTAATTTAAGTATTTTTCTTAAATTAAACTGATCAAATACTGACCAAAATTTGGATTGTGAAAGATCAAGACAACAACACACTCTTCAATATACACAGAAAATTGTGATGTCCCTCTTACATAGTTTTCTACATAAGAGGAGGAATCTCTTTTTCAGCTAAAAAGTTACAAGATCAGTCTAACACAAAAAGTGAGTAATTAATACAAAATGTCAGTAATAAATACATTAAATGCCTTATTTATGTTTAAGGAGTTTTATAAAGAGATAAATAAAGAGAGCTTTTCAATCACATATATGTGCTTAGTGTTTGCTCTAGGTAACAGTTAATGTAGAAAAACTATGTTGAATTTAGAACATAGTCATAAGCATTAACAACCATCCAAATATTAGTACACACATCTAGGTTCAAAACACTCCCTGTGAATGACTGACATGTTGACTGACTCCACAGAAGCTTTGTTTTCTGTGCATATGAAAGTGGACTGGATATTCCAGCTGGCCATTTATGGGACTCCCAATCGCGTGTGAACTGCACTCAGTGGGAGCTGCGGCTAACAGGTCCAACACTGAAACACTTAACAGGATGAAAATGTCAGCTGGGGTGAGCTCAGCGGGGTAAACCAGGAATAGTTTTCTTTGTGAATCTGAATTGTTTTAAGAAACAGTCTATTCATATGGAATTTTAATCTTAGTATTTTTTAACTTTAGAGAAACAAAATAAATCCTTGCTACTATATATATTATATTCTATTTGCTTTCACAAAAATAACAATAAAAAAATGCATTATTTGAATCTCACAACAAATCACAGACAACACCTTCCCACTGTTATTCATCTGCAAATCTTTCCTTATTGAAACACATACATCAAGCCCACTTCCAAGCATTCGGCTAACCTTGACAAACTAACCAGCCACACACTCTGTTCAAATCCTGGTGTCCTAATTTGCAGATGAGATCACAATTCCACCCAACAACCTCTGGTGTGAACTTAATTGTGTACACTCAGGTATAGGGTTTCAGACTGTGTCTGAAACTCCCAGCGAGTGAAGAGAAACAGACAGAGTGAACTTGACAATGAGCGAGAGTGCGACAGTGCAAGAAGAGAGGGAGTGAGGCACGGACCACCCAACAGCTGCAAAGGAAAACAAAGCCAAAGAAAAGAGTCGGCTTCGATCAGTTCGGAAGTAGGACAATTGAAAGATGTTGCGCAGGAGCTGTTTGCCAAGACAGAAAAAAAAAAGACAGAAAGTTAAGACAAAAAATTGCAAACATCATTTAATCATAATTTATGTGGTGTGTAATGTCTAGCAGTATCAATACAACATTCATTTACATTATGAAATTTGTTTATGTGAGCAGAAAAAAATAATCCTTTAAAACAATTACATACAAAAACAAACATTACCTTTTAAAATCAGTTTTCACTACATTCTGGGAGTTTCAGGAATTATAGCATAGTGAGCAATGAAAGATAATTTTAGAAAAAAAATAATGAAGTTTTGTAAATCAAACTGAAAAAAATCATTTTAAATATATATTTTTTTGTTTTCTTTTTTTTTACCAGATGAACTTGCAAATCAATCTTTTTATTACATTATATCATTTAGTCACTGAGTTGATGATTTTTTTCTTTTTTAAAAGGGAAATGCAATATTGCATAAATAAAGAAGCATAATGCTTCTTTATACTTTATTAAAAGCATAAAGAAGCTTTAAATGAAAAGTGGTTTTGGTGGTGGCCACCAGGGGGATGAGTTTGTTAAATGTTAGTTCTGAAAGCTGGATGCTGGATGTATCTCAATGATGAGGCAGTCTGTTAAGCACTGAGGAGCTTGTGTGGGAGGCTTGGAGGAAGCCAGAAAGAGACTTCTGCCGAGTTTTGGAAGTCTTCTAAGTCATTTTCACCCCGACAGAATATACAGACTTCTTTACTCATCAAAGCTGATTTTGATTAAAGGGTCTGGCTGTCACACCTGCAATAATTTTCTTAAAAAAAAAAAAAAAGAAAAGAAAAAGAAATAAAAACCATATAAATGTTTTCAGTTTGTCTGCTTACTTCTAAATATTTCTGACATGCTGTTACCTCTCAGGACCAATGTAGACCTTTTGTCATTTTGAATAAAGATCTGAACTGAATTTAATAAAAGAATAAGCACAGTTTCATACTGTTACTTAACTCTACAGGTTAACCCATTTGACCTAATTGCCCCATAGTTATCATGTCTTTGACAGCTTTCTTTTTTGCATAATTTACTTTGGAATACATGTTATTTCTTGTTTGCAAGATACATTTTGCTAATTCTTCTTTCATTAAATATATTAAGGTAAACAGAAAAAAAAAATCTTTTAAAAATGCTGATCCCAGTCCAGCTGAAGTTCTCCTGGGCAGTGACAAAAGGAACATATTTTGATGAGCATAAAGCCCAAATTAAAAATTGTCTAAATTTCAAAATGTTTTTCTCCAAAAAGTGATGAATCTAAATTTGTTTTCTACCTGTTCAGACCATTTTGCTGTTTTCCCAAACCGCAACTATCCAAACCACAATATCCCTGAATGATCAATAATATTTTTATGTAAATTATGTGCATATATATATATATAAAAAGTTACCTTCTTATCCATTGGAGTCAATGTGGATGTTTGGAGCAGGGATTTTTCTTCAACAGATTGATTGGGTAACTGACCTGAAGACAGGTAAATACAGTCATTGTTAGCTTTTTGAATTTCTGGGTGCACATTTTCAAAGATTTTGTTTCTGCACATCATCACAAATTTTGTCTAATCATAATACAAAAATGGTAATTAGAATGTAATCACTGCAATAACATGATATAAAATTAATCAAAGCAGAAAATAAAAACAACTAACAAAAAGCTCTGAAGTATAAAATGAAATAATAATTGAATATAAGCAATTTAAATATATCAGTTTCATATGCAGATGAAATTTCATGTCTGAAGAAGCTTCAAATTAAAATGTGAGACATATCAAATTTTGAGGTACATGTTTATACATATTCAGAAAATATCTCTTATATTGTGAAGATTTTAGGTATTTACATCTTTATCACTTTTTTTAAATAAAAATTATGTCATAAGAAAAATGTTCATTGAAAAATCTAAAAGTAAGTCCTGAAGATGTTGATTTGTTTGATATAAAATAAGAAAGCATTTTCCAGTTTAGAAGAAACAAAAAAGTCAAAACTTACTGGTTAATTACTAAAAGTGTCCAATATTTATAACTATGGGATATTGGGCCCTGTAAAGTTCTTAAATATACAATAGGTTAACAATATGTAGAGTTTGCAAGTTTTTTCATTTGTTGTGAACCAATCTACTTCATTTTATTGCCAATTGTCTTGTCTCTGTCATATTTTTCATGACCAGTCATCATTGCTCTTCACCCCAACACTGGTCTATGGATAGGTCTCTGAGGACGATTGCTTATTTGAACAGTGTGGGCAGCCTGCCTTTAACGCTTGTATCTACACACATTATGCAGTGTCTTCATCTGTCTCTGTCAAATTTCTATGTAAAAGAGCAGAAGGATGGGTGGCTAGTCCAAAGGAGAGAGGTCAGTGTCCCGAAGGAGTTTACCTCTCTGACACATCAGCACTATGAATGTGAAGAGAGGAAGCAGGACCAAACTGATTTGTCACAGCCATTACACTATATAACTTATCTAAAAGTCCTCAAAGAGTCAAACACAATGACTAGGTGTAAATTAAAAAGGTTAAACCAATTTGGTTTAACACATTTCTGTGTTTACTTGCTTAGAAGAGAGTTGCAGTTAGAATTACATTCATGTTGTCTGTGGCTGTGACTTTTGCCGTAACAATGGTTGAAAATAGAATTAAAAACACTTCAAAGTAAGAGAAAGACTGAAGTAACCACAGACTTTTGATACTGAAACTTTGTGCAATGAATCCTGTTGCTGCATTAATGGCATCACGGTCATAGAGTGTGAACTGAAAATCTGTTTCTCAAACCCAAATCCCAGAGAGTTTGGTTCATTTGAATGTAAGCAATGCAAGGTCCTTCAATATCCATCATTAGTGACTCAGATTAAATGCTGAGTTTGTTAAAAAATAAATAAATAAAAAATAAAAATAAAACACTTATTGGATAATGTAATGCTATCAGAATGCAATTGCAGTATATTAGATGTTCTACTCGATAACTTCTCCCTGATGCTTCAGAGGACATCCAAGAGGGGAAACCTCCCTGCCAGGGCAGCTTTATGAGGTAAAACTTTACCCTGATAATCTGATTTAGCCTGTGACAGTAGTAAAACAATGATACCACAAAAACACCCAAAAAAGCTTTCTACAGTATAAACAAACCTTTGTGTAAACAAAACTACAAGTTCAGAAATTGTTTCATTTTATGATTATCACATTTTATCATATAGTGGGATTTGACATGATGTAAAAATAATAATAATAATAATAATAATAATAATAATAATAATAATATTTTAAAAGTTTTAGAACTTGGTAAATTTATTCGTGGTGATTTTACAGATATAATTGCATTATTTGTTAAGGGCCTCTGAAAACTAACTGCATTTTTATCAAATCAGAGTTTGGTAATGTTTGCAGGAAAAACACCTAAAACGTTTTCTGAAAAGATAAGGACAACATTGGCAGTGAGAGGTGCAGAGGTTGGGTTCAGGAAGTTTTCACTCCTTTCTTCCCAGTGTGCCCCTGGCCTTTCCAATTTCCAGTGAATTGCTGAAAGAAGCCAGATACAGGCAAGGTAATCACCAGCTAATAAGAAGCTTTATTGAAAACAGACAGCTGGTGACATATTACAAGCTTGACAGATCTATGCTTACATTTGTACAGACCCAATCACACTGCCAATTTAATGCATATGACTGCACAAAGATGTTTAATTGCAATGCGGTATGACAACAAACACTAGAAAGAAACAATCACTGAAAATGTATAAAACTAGAAAACGAGCACATATGTACATATCAACACACCAACAAATACACAAAATTCCCAATTGACCCAAATCCTTTATTCTACCACTGACTTCAACCATTACTACCATCACAGAAAAGTGCAAGCATATGGCAAAAATATCAATAATTCCATTACAATGTACCAATTATCAATTAAGAACGGGGATCCCTATGGGTTTTACATGTGAATGTGTCTTTTTTATCTGACTGTATAAGACAATAAGATAAGAATTCATAATGACATTTGTGAAATACTGTGGAAGTAAAGTGAGAGAAAAGAAAACATGCAAAGAAGTTGTTTCCAAAACGTGGATCAGTTATTTTTCTGCCTTTATTTAATTTTTTTTGATATGTTGCGTGTTTGTAATTTCTGTTTTCTTGGCATGAACCACAAAAACATAAAGATATTTGTAGTCAAACCATACAATATGTGGCTCACACAAATGTGTACAGTGGTTCTAGTGAATAGACAACATTAAATAAATTGATGGAGGTGCCCCAATGTATTGGACCATTCAATATGGCTCATGTTTCTTTAAGTCCAGGGTGATTCTACTGATAAAAACAACAACTATGAACTAGTCCTTCAGTTTAAGGAAACTACCAGTCACATGTCAATTTTAGCATCCTCAACAGATATGATTAGCCAGTCCAATTTTTCTCACAATATTTATAAAATATTTTTATTTTTTCTGTCATTCTGTTTTCTTTCCATGCAATATGAAAGAAAACATAATTAAATTCTACTACACAAACAATTTAAAAGTGATGTAAAACTGTCCCATCATTTTGTAAACAATTGATCAATCAAAATGACTTTCATGCCAATTTAAGAATAGCTTACTTTATTACTTCAAAATGAGAGTCTCAAACAGAGACAAAACAGGATGTCAAGCTTTGAGCAACCTTTTTTTATAGCAAAAGTTTCAGAAAGCAGCTTACGCTTTATGAAGAAGAAGTCACATACGGAGGGTAACAATACTTCGATGCCAGTTCAATATTACAATATTGTGGTATTTTACGACACAATCTTGTTCTATAAGATCCTGGAGAATTCCAGCTACAAACTGCTATACCTTGATGCCCAGGATCATACTTGCTGTTTCTAAAAGGGAGATTTTTTTAAGTGTATAATAAGAATATTGTAAGCGAAATATTTAGTAGTGTTTACAACCAACTACTTGCACATGGATCTGTAAAAAACACTGACTGCTGACAATATCTTCCCGATTACAATCTGCTATGACTGGATACCAGTGAATTCACTGTTCAGGAAATCAGTTTAAAGTCATTTGGCTTTTGTGACATGATTCATTGTTCTACTGTAAGTAGTCAAAGGAAGATGGATACTCAGTGATTGTAAAGGGATGCCTATGAACAGCATCAGTAGTGTTTTAACATTGCTTAATTGTAACTAGGACCCTTAAGTAGTCCTACGTATGCAAAGACAATATTCCTCATGCATTCTTATCATTCAGGCTAAATTTTGACCCTGTCAAGAAAGAGATCAGTGACCATATGTGGCACTGCTGATAGATTTTCATTAGTGCTTGTCAAATGTTACAACCCAACCCAAAATTAAAGATATTTAAATAAATGTGAAATAAGTCCTACGATACATGCAATGTGCAAAGTGAGAGGTGGGGAGTATCATTAATGTGCTTTTTTCATAGAAGTGACATATGGGTTTCATTCCTCAATGTTTAGACCCAGTCAAATGCATGTTTAGACATGCCAACATACATTGTGTGATAATAAATACTGTGACAGCAGCTCTACCAGAAGTAGATTGAGAAGTATGAAAAGGAACCCAACCCAGGTTTCTGAATTCCCTTTTTAAAGCAATCAAGGAGCGACATGAAGCCTCATACACAAACACCTCTCATCACAATCCACAGGACTCAGAGAAAGCTAAAGTATGTTTAGAGGAGTTGGCATTCTCTGCTTGACTGAAGCAGATCATAGAGGAGTTTGAGAAAACACATGGCTGGAATAAGAAGAAAGAGTTTGAGTCTGAGGTTTCAGAGAAAATTTTGTGATTTAGAAACCACCAACTTGGCACTCAGACACCCTCTTTCATTATATTTACAAGTATTTGTATTTGTTCTGCAGAGTTCTGAATTTTTAAATTGTTTTTATGTCAGCTAAAAACAAAAAAGTCACTCAAATATACAAGAGCAACTGTTGAAAATGTTAAAAAAGGAAATATGCTAATAATCAAACTGTGTAACCATGCATATCGCTTTTCAATACAAAATAGCATCCATTCCAAATGCATTTCCTCTTTTCACACACACACAACCATTCATCCTAAAAGTGCCTCACCCCCTTGTGTAAAGCACTCCCAGTGTTCTGCTTACACCATCAGCAGCATCAAAAAGGACAATCTATGTTCCCTCCTGTCTTCTTTTTTCATTTGAGTGACTATGAGCGGTAGCTGCAGCAGCTGCAGCATCTCTCCCTGCCTGTGCTCAGTCGGGGTGAGGCAATAGGTTTAGCAGGCGAGGAGGCGAGGCAGATTTATGGTGGTGGATGTGACCTCTGGGGCCGTAACACGGTGATGGGTGAGTGGCTCTCAGCGGTAAGCTACTGGCACTTGACAAAGTGCCCGAAGCAGAATGAATTTACTTCTCTTTTCCTCAATCATCAAGCAGCCACTGCCCTGACCCCCATCCTGACTGCTATAACAAGATCTCCCATCTCACAAGGGCCT